AACCAAAGACTTAAACTACTTCAGTCTGTGTGCATTGAATTTATTTAATACACGAGTTTCACAATTTGAGTTGAATTACTGAAATAAATGAACTTTTCCACGACATTCTAATTTATTGAGATGCACCTGTATATACACTATATAGACATTTTTTTCTAGAACAAGTATGCAAAAGTTTAGCAATGGCAATGTCATGGGTTTGATTCCCAGATGAACTGATCAAATGTAAAACTTGAATGCAATGCAAGATGCTTTGAATCAAAGCCAATGCATGAATGTTTTCTAACATATCGGTTATCTGTCTTGTTTCCGCAGAATCCAGGACATCGGCATCCTGTTTAACGTGCTCATCATTCTTCTCATGATGTTCAACACATACGTGTTCCAGGTGGGGCTGGTGTCGCTGTTACTGGAGCGATTCCGAGCGCTGCTGATACTGTCTGCACTCTACCTGACTCTCAGCATCTGCTTTCACTGCTGGGTCATGGTGTGTACACACACACACACACACACACACACACACATTGATTATGTTTAGATCCTACATGGAATCTGTGAGCACAGAAAGTCATTTGTAAAGTTATATTAATTCCTCGCCATGTTTAAATCCATTCTGCTGCACTTTTGCAGAAATTATAATTGTATAATATTTAAATAAAAAATAAAACTAAAATAAAAGAATTTTAAAAAAATGTAATGTTTCATTTTATTTTTAAACCCATTCTGATAAATTTTTTTTCATAACAGAAAATTATTATAGTATAATATATATAAAAAAATAAATCTCTAAATATATTTCTAAAATACTCTCGTTTTCCTTCATTCTGTTCATTTCATGTGTTTAAATTTTTGTAGAAAATTGTTATTGTATTATTATTGTATATCAATTAAAAATTTAAATAAGATAAATAAAATGGTAAAAAATTAATAGCTTCTGTCATTCGTGAAATTTTGTAAATTCCTCACCATGCTTAAATCTGCTCTGCTGTAATTTTGCAGAAAATTATTATTGTATATTATTTTAATAAAATTAAAAGTAAAACTAAAAAATAACTTAAAATACTTTCATTTCCCTTTATTCTGTTCTTTCCCATGTTTAAATCCATTCTGCTGAAATTTTGCAAAACATTATTATTGTATATATAATACAATAATATAAACATATTTATACATGTATAAATATGTATTCCTAAAATACTCCTTTTCTTATTCTGTTCATTTCCCATGTTTAAAGCCATTCTTCTGAAATTTTGTAGAAAATGATTATTGTATAATATATATAAGTAAAAAATAAGATCAATAAAATAGTAAAATTTGTATTTGCATAGTTGTACTTCTAAAATACTTTCATTTCCATTTATTCTGTTAATTTCCACTGTTTAAATCCATTTAGCTGAAAATCATTTTTGTATATCAATTAAAAATGATTTAGATAGTGTCCAAAATTGACTTTGCAGAAAATTATTAATGTATAATATGTAAAATAAACATTAAATTAAAAAAGATTTACATTGCATTCAAAATTCTGTCCATATTTGTATTTCTAGAATTCTAATTTTCCCTCATTCTGTTCATTTCCTGTCAGAACCTGAGGTGGATGGAGTCCAATCGTTTCGTGTGGACGGACGGTCTGCAGGTTCTCTTTGTGTTCCAGAGACTGGGTAAGCCGGCCGTGAGACGTTAGCCAAACCCCGAATTGGATTTCACGTGAGGGTCACTGTCAATCTCATCAAGAACCTCTCAATCTCTTACTACATGTTTGGAGATACAGGCCTAACCTTTCTCTCTCATGACACTAAAGCTGTTGTAGAGGTGTGATCAAACCAGAGGCACAATTTTCTTCCAATCAGACAGTTAATCGCTCTTTACTATTTAGCAGTTTTGCCGTTTCCACACAAGTTAACCACTGCCTGTTGATGGTTTTGTGTCTCCCCAGCTGCTGTGTTGTATTACTACTTCTACAAACGCACAACCGAGTATCTGGGAGACCCCAGACTTTACGAAGATTCCCCGTGGCTCCGTGACGCATTTGCTAGAGCGCGACAGTGAAACGACACGCCTGGAAACAAACCCAAAATGGTGCACGGGGGACGTTAACGTTGTGCAATACAACACACAACCAAAGCATTTCAAGAAACAAAACGGATGGACTCATTCAGAGCCCCGCCACCTTAAAACAAACTTCTGAATTGTAGGAAAGAGCCAAAATGGCTTCCATGGAGCACACTGGCGACTGGAGAGATCTCAGTTTGTGTTTTTAATGACTGAGAAGCGCAACGAGAAATAAAGCATCATGAAACCCGACGTCTGAATGTCTCAAAACACATCTTAGTACAATAGTACAAATGATCTTACTGCCCGCACCAGGTGTAAAGCTACAATTATCATAAATTGCTTCTTACATGTTGGTTGCGTAGACATCTTGTTGTGTAATGTAGTACGTACTAAAATGTCTTTTTAAAATGGTTTTGGATCATTGCTTGAGCAGAGTTTGAACGTACAGTCGAACTACGAGAGATTTCGTTCACTTCGGTTTGCCTTTGAAACGACGAGTGGAATTTGGGCTCAAGGAATTGTGTGAATTTTTTAAACATTTTGTTTGTAATGTTTTCATAAACATCCTCCAAGTGACACACGTTCGGTATATTTTCAGTAAATTGTCGACGGAGCATCAACAAAGTGCCTCGCTGTTCACCCAACACTACACAAAGTGAGTAAACAGCAGAGCGTCAGTGCACTTGTTATGCCGAAATCGAGATCGCATTTTTCTGTCATTTATGTTGTACTAATAAACATTTTCCATTGGCCTGATGCGTGTCCCTGATGCTTTATTTCTCCTATTTATCGCAAACATAAGTGTTCTTTAAGAAATAGTTCAACCAAAAATGAAAATGTACTCACCGACCCAAGATGTAGACGAGTTTGTATCTTCATCAGAACAGATTTGAAGAAATTCGTGTGTGGAAACAGTCCAAACAGCTGATAAAAACAATACACACGACTAGGGATATGCCGGTATCAAATTTTCATGTTGCGATTAATTGCTCATGCTTTTATCACGGTATACGGTATTATCACGATATTGAAATTAAGTTTAAAAAAA